GAGAGATAGCACAAAATGCCATCCTTTTCCTGATTAAATGGTTGAAGTTTAATTTTTGGCATTCCTGACGATTGTGCTCCTGGTGTTGAATTGGCCTTCTCTAGCTGAACACGTAATTCCAAAATTTCTTTTTCATGTTCCAATTCAAGTGTTTTTAAACGTAATTCATTTTCCTGTTTTTGTTTAGAAAGTTGAAATTCCAATTCCAAGTCCTGTTTCTTAGGCATTTTAATTCCGCTTGTTAAATCCAAATACATGCATATGTATAAAATTTCAAACAGTATTTCACATTTAATTAGGATCCTTTACCGCTGCCAACACTTAAAATGTTACACCGAAATTTTCTGTTTTTAAATAAAAACGGCCAATTAAAGTTCCCAATAAAGTTTATTTTGTATTCGCATGTAACACTTTACACATACGACCTGACTGAGTAACTGATTGAACACACAAATTCTACGCTAAATATTTGAAAATGCCCAACCTAGCTACAGACTGTCAATCACTGCTAAATTAACCCGTTAATTGTGAACACTATGAATTCTGCATATTCTCATGGCCAGCACTTCGGACACTCAATCCCCCTGAGACTCGGGTGATAAATGTCAGCAATGCTGATACAAGAGCTAAATTTCCCAGCCAAATCTTAATGAGCGGTCAAGACCTTATCACATAAACAGATCACTGCAGTCTGTAGCTTAGAGCAATTGCTACAAATCAACAAGATTAAAATAATATATAAATCAAGCATTAATTATAACAACAATTTCACACAAAATTTCACTTTAACAGACGTCAAGTATATTGCAATGTTTACGTCATGGCGTCATAGTTTCAACTGCAGAGATGGGGTACAAGTAAATTCGGCACCTGGTAAATACGGCACTCAAAGAAATAGTGAATTCGGCATCTAGTGAACTCGGCACCCAGTGAACTCGGCACAAGAATCTGGTTAATTCGGCATCAGATTCTGGTAAATTCGGCACTTTTCTTTTATAAATCCACACATGTATTATTAATTGAGTTTTTTTTTTTCAAAGCAGAGGAATCTCGGGTTAAATGCATGAAAGCCACAAAATGGAAAGAAAAGCACAGGGACTTGCTCCCAGCGTGTAATAATTATTTATAAAAAAAAATCATTTAGATAGTAATCCAAGGGAAGTAATTGGGAAGCAAAAATGCTTCAAAATGCAGAAAAAAAATCAATATTCACCTTTAAAATTCTTTTATGCATATCAATTGCCCACCGAATTTCTATTTAAAATGTTAAATATAATAAAATATTGACCTTCATTTTTCTATGCTTAATTTGTAAATTACCATATTTTGATAGTTCCCAGTACCTAGCATGACCATTAACAAGTGTGAAATTAAAATTGAATCGTAAACATTGTTGTTTGAATCTTTAGCATTGGTTTAAAAAATTAAACACAAATTTAATTATCTCCTGTATCCTGTTTCCATGGCAACCAAGGTTATAATTCAAAAATACTTCTACATTTCACAATCAATCACACATTTGTTTAAAATTATGACAGAAAAAAATCAAATCTGTAACTATGCGTTGCCAAACAATTTTGATAATTACGGAGAATTGGTCTTAAAATGCTTATGTACATAGACTTTAGAGAATAACTTTAGCTCCTTGTAATGTATAATTTTATTAACGTTATAAGCTCAGTAATATTGCTATGCATTAATTAAGAACAAACATTACTGTTGTTAGAGTTCAACACTATTTTTTAATATTTACCAAGTCATCATTTCTAGACGAACATAATCAAATCTGTGAATGAGTGCATGTCAAAAGTGGATTTATTTTCTTTGTTGCTAAGGGGAATTTTCTGTTGCTATGGCGATAAGTACTTGCAAAATATTCCTGGATTTATAAAGAAGTCTCAGAAATATGTTTTTACTTTAAAAATTGATTTTGGTATCCACCAATAAGATTTAATTCCATAAATAACTCGCATATTTGACAATTTGTCTCTTTCTCTTAATCAAAACATCCATTTTTGTTGCTAGGCAACCGATTGTAAATATTAAAAAATACACGTTTTTGAATTTAAATTCCAAAAGGGAAATTCCTCTGCTTTTATGTAAAATATACCATACTCTTGTATTGTGCGGGAAGTTTGAGATATATGGCCTTGAAAATTGCCCAAATTTACAAAAATGCTGAATCAGCAAAAAATGCAAAACATGCATATCTTCCATTGCCCGTAATAGAAATATCTTAAAATAAAAATTGTATGTATTGCATGGTTTTATCACTTGAAATGTTTTTCTTGATGATAACATTATTTAAGAACCCCTCTGGTAATATTCACATTCAATTTCAAGCCTCTAAATTTAGTGATATATTTGTCCATAAACATGGAAAATTGACCGGTTGCTAGGGAAAATTTCTTTGGCCATGTTTTCATAGTAACCGGGACCCAAAATAGTTTTCATTTTACATACGTGGTTCATAGTGTAAGAGAAACCTATGCGTGTAAAATCATCGAATTCTGAGAACCCTCATGATTCACCTTTTGTCTGATTCTTACAGAGACCTGTACTTAACATGTGCGTTTACAACACAAATTACACGACGTCATGTAGATTCCTACCAAGCCTGCTGCTTTGAGAAGACTTTTTATTGAAGTGAAATTATAATCATTATGTCCATTTCTTTTCATATTTAATTAAAGAATATTAATAAATATGGAGCCTGATGATCTGTCAAAAAGTTAAATATAAATCAATGATAATTTTTTTGATGATATTAAAAAAACATTGCTTTATTATCAAATTTTTTCTAGATCCGTTTCGAGTATTTTGTAACATGTACTTGTTTACTTTCATTGTCATTGTTTCGCTGCTGTTTAATATTTTTTAAAATCATTTAGAGATATATTTTAAAAAATCTGGTGTGTAATAATCGCAAATCCTCAATTCACCCTTAACATTACAAAAATTGAATAAATTTGTGATAAGAAATATAAAAAAATAAGTGACAAGTAACTCGGATAAAATAGGTGCCGAACTAACTAAATGCCGAACATACCAGGTGCCGAGTTTAGTAGGTGCCGAATATACCTGGTGCCGAATTCACTTTACTTGGTACCGAGTTTACCAGATGCCGAGTATACCAGGTGCCGAGTTGACTAGAATTCCAGAGATGTGCCTAAATCTGTCGGAAATAGCATGTTTTGAGAGTTAAAATGTAAAGAATATGTTGCAGGATAAGCAAAATGCATGATAAATGTCTTGAAATATAAGCGATATTTGGGCTCGGGTCGAAAACGTAAGAGGGCTCGGCAAGCCTCGCCCTCTATCACGTTTTCTTACCCTCGCCCAACTATCGCTTATATTTCAAGACAGTAACCATGTATTTTATTTTATTTATGACCAAAAGAAAGAGAACTTTAGAAAATTGTTGGATATGTTACAAATATTTGGCAGTGCGAAAAGTCTTGAGGTATTTTTTATATTACTGTGAACAATATGACATTTGAAGAGATTCATTTCGCATATAGGACAATCAATGTCAAAAAAAAAAAAAAAAAAAAAAAAAAAAAACCTATTCTGCATGATTCCTATGCCTTCGAACACGCAAGGCTTTAAAAACGACTTGTAGAAAACACCACAGATTTATTTATTTATTTTTAGGGGTGTGCTACATGTAGATGGTCACAAAGCACATTAACTTTTTATCTCTCATTTCTATTTACATGATTTACTAGAGGGAGTTCTATATTTATGTACATTTATTTTATTGTAGTCTTTTGTAGACTACAAAATGCAACCCACGACTTAATACATCTTCTGTTCTGAAAATCATTTATATCTCCTTGCTACATTACATGAAAATTTTACATTGTATAACTAAAGACAATTTCCGCATTTTTTTTATAAGCCATATAGTTTTACAATACAGTGGAACAATAAAATTATTCAAGTTAGAAATACTAAATTTAATGTGATAAGTACATTAACAATTGTTGTGTTCACTGCATTTAATGTTAGAATTACTGCATATAATGTTAAAAGCACTTTATATAATGATAATTAGAAATTTCTGATCGAATGATGGATGAACATAAGATAATGACATAACTACATTTGTGTACATCATTTATAATGAAAGAATTTATTGTATATGATGGAAGTTGCACACGATATAATGTAAAAACTTCATATAATTAAAAAAGAACAGCATATAATGGAGGAAATACTGCATATAATGTTAAATCCTCAGATAAGAAAGTCCCGGCGTTCTAGATCTATAATGACTCATAACAAGGATTTTTTTTGTCGGGCGTATAGTTTATATATAGACCGTCGTAATGATTTTCCGTTCGCTGCATAATGCTTTAATTTGGCTGCTCGCTTGAAGACCCTCCTTCGATTCTTTTGAGAGGTGATGAATAGCAAAACATCTTGCCTCTATGTCATTTTTTAATCATATTTTATAATGCAAAATTTTCATTTTTAATATGTTGAGTAAAATATCATGAATACTAGTACTATAATGAAATTTTAATTATCAATACGTGAACATGGTGAAGAAATATGATTTTATGAACACAACCCTTTAATCTACGGACCTTGTCTTGTGACTTATTTACGCAAAAGTATCATTAAACAAATTAGAAGTGCTGCATATTTGTGTTAATCATATTTCAGTTTTGTGAGGAAAATTTCCTAAATTACTTATTTATTGGAGAATAATGTCCATGGCATTTATACTACAGTTATTGACGAGATCAAAGAAATAACAATAAAGCCAAAAAGGACAATTTTACCACTTCAATGCGCTCACTGTATAACTGTAAACATGCATCTGCTGAAGAGCATGACATGGCGAATGCGCCTTGTGATTAAGTGTAGAACGACGAGGATGATAACATGCAGTTGTCAGTATGAATACAAACGGCGGACGAAAAATCTAACACACGCTCTCTTTCTATATATCGATGAATATTGATAAAGGAATGTCACGTAATCGGACTCACCACAAGAGTAACAAACCCGCCAGATTGTATTTCAAGTGTAGCAGGTCACAATAAAGATGGCGATGGGTGTGTTTTTCCCAAGTACATATACATCAGTATATTAATCAATGAGGCAACTCTAGTAAATGAGAATAGGAGTTACAGTTCTTAGATATAGAATGTGCAACACCCCTCTTTATGAGGAAAAACATAATGATAAAATCAGAAAAATTAAATGGGTTGATTTTTACCATTTTACTTTTCCCCATAAAATTCACTTGGCTTGGTATATTTTTTTTTGAGTTTATATTGCAATTTTAGCACCAATTGATTAAGCTAACATATTATGATATTTATTTTTTTTATTCGTAAACCTTTATTGAGTGTGATTTGTTCAAATTTATTTCTATGGGCAGCAGAAAGGGCAAAAATTACCATAATGTGAAAATAAACAATTATTTTAATTTCAATGACCATAAAAACTTAACAAATGATATACAATGCATAATCAACAGACGTTTTCGCACAACAAATATACATTAAAGCAAAACCAACGACCACGTACTTAACAAACATGTATGAATGCAAAACTAACAATCATCTTTGCAGTACAAACGTACATAAAAGCACGACAAGCGAAATAAATTTAACAAACGTGCAAGCGGTAAATCTAGTCTTCCCGGCTCCCGACGGTCCTGGTTTTTGTTTGTGTTTTTTTCTTGGCGATTTCCTTTTTATCGGCGCACAGAAACTCTTCACATTTCTGAGGCACATTTCTAAGTTAAAAAAAAAATTAAATTTGATACATGTATTTATAAAAACTTTACATTTGTGTCCGCAGTATCACCTGTCAAAAAGCGGTAAATCTAGTACTCAGTTATAAATGCAAAAACCACTAAGAAAAGGATACCGATGTTTTCGTAGAATCGCGATTAAAAACAATAAAATGAGGTATATTTTTTTTCATAAATGAAAACCCTCATTTGCATGCAAGATAATTTGTATGCACAAAAATTCCCCCCACATTTTTTTTAGTATAGAACTCTTGGCCACATCATGTTTATGTTCCCAGGCTCTACAACATGGACGTGGTTCTACCTCGGATCCCCCTTTAATTTTTCCTTTGGTTAGAGTTCAATCTAATTAAAATTAGATGTTGCGAGCGGATCTAACATCTAATTTTATTAGATAGCTAAGAGTTGGGTTTTATCCTTAAAATTTCAAATAAAAGAAAAGAATTTACATAAAATGAAAAAAAAATATCTCATTCTCTTGAATGCCGTTTCTTCATTTTTTATTTTGTTTTTGTTTTGTCCAATTCTTTGAATATTACAAGAATTTACATAACAGTGACATATCATATTACAGGCACGTAGCAACATTTCCCAATTTTATGAAAAAGCTAAAATAAAAGGGGGTACGTAGTATATACATGTACATGTATATTAGGGGAAAATGGTACTGAAAGAAGTTGAACCGACCCCCCCCCCCCCCTCCACACACACAAGATAGTTTTTCGAGTTTGGCCTATTTCATTTTAATTTCCTTTTTGTTTTTGCTTGTCAAGTTTTTAAAATCTTTTTTCAGCTTGTTTGAATTTTTTGCTCTGATTACCCTCTCCTTTCAAAAACGATGAGCACTACGTCAATGTATAACAATGCAATATTTTCATTTTGCATGGTTTTACAATATGTGCAATGTTAGATTTAGCTATTATGAAAATTTTGATAAAAATCTTTTTTGGAATCAAATCATTTGGATGTTATGAATTTTATAGAATTTAAACTTTCATTTTGAAATACTAATTCCATCGATATCCACAGGGGCTTGTGTAGACAAAAAAAAATCAGTTAAAAAAAATTAGTACCTCGGAGAAAAATACACAGTGTATTTTTCTCCGAGGTACTAATTTTTTTAACTGATTTATTTTCTCTACATAAGCCCCTGTGTTCCAGTTTTTTGTGAAGAAATATCTTCTCAATATCAATATTTTTAATATCTTTAAAGATACATGGACACGGATTTGAAGTTCAATTTATTTCATCTTTAAGTTATTGAAACATGATTGCTACTTTTCCTAAGTATTAAGAATAAAATTAAAATTTGCGAGATTGCAAGGATCCGTCTAAAAGTTTGAAGTTTTAATAACTTTTAGATGAAATAAGATTTTTAATATATTTTTGTGTGAAATGCTATTACAAAGTCGCAATATTATACAGAAAATATTAACTCCAAATCTGAGTCCATGCACCTTTACTTTCTACGTCTCTTAGTTTTCATATATATAACGTAGTACTACATTTAACTCTTTTGGAAGGTGATGCTGCTTATTCAGTAATAAATATTAATGAATTAATTTAAAAAGGATATATGCATAAAAAGTTTGAAGAGTTTCTGTGCACCGACAAAAAAGACCCCCCCCCCACCCCCCACCCCCCACCCCCCAAAAAACGGGACCGCCGGCAGTCGGGAAGACTAGATTTACCGCTTGCACGTTTGTTAAGTTTTTTTCGCTTGTCGTGTTTTTATGTACGTTTGTACTGCAAAGATGGTTGTTGGTTTTGCATTGGTACATGTTTGTTACGTACGTGGTCGTTGGTTTTGCTTTAGTGTATATTTGTTGTGCGAAAACGTCTGTTGATTATGCATTGTATATCATTTATTAAGTTTTTATGGTCATTGAAATTAAAATAATCGTTTGTTTTCTCATTATGGTAATTTTTGCCCCTTCCGCTGCCCATATATTTCCTTAAAAGTATTAACTAATATTTTCCAGGTCTATTTCATTTAACAAGTCAAAAGAAAAAAAATATTCAAGGAATTATCCATTTTATTTTTAAATCTGTGACATGATGTGACATGATCAAGTCTCCTCCGAAGAAATAAAACCGTATCACCAGTCCTTAATGATATATTTTCACAAACATAACTGTATCCTTTTATAGTCTCTGCTAGATCTCATGCATGAGATCTAGCAGAGACTAGTTGCTAATTGTGATGATGAGTAGTGTGTAGCAAAATTTGAGGCGTTTAATGAAATGAATAGTGTAGTGATCGCGTTTTGTTGTTAAAAATGTTCATCGTTCAACATGCTCAAACTATAGAGTATAAAAACATGTTATTAAATATATTAAGAGTATTCAATTGACAAACTTAATTTACTATAAAATTACATGCAGCACAAATTTTATTCTGTTCTTTGTCTGTAGGTAAAAAACAAGAGATAACAAACAATAATTTTCACGTAAACGTACGTATATTAATCACGTAAAATATTACAATATCTGATTCCTCGATAAACGACTAAAAAAAGTACATATAAAACAAGACAAACAAAACATCACAAGAAAAAGTTAGCAATTGCTCACGGACAAATTAGCGCTATATATTTAACTTTATCTCATTCCTTTACACATGTTACATCTGTGAACATAATAAATGATACGCATCACTATAAAAGTCTTTACCTGATCTTAAACATAGTACACTGTACATATTTGGGATTACTCGATTTTACTTTTTAGGTCGATCAGTGATTAATTAACTCAGCTTTCAAAGTGCATGCCTTTATTTCCCTGTTGTTATTTAAATAACGTAGCAAAAAACCTTCCTAACGTTTTTGACCTGACAGAGTGCTGGATATAAACATTTAAAGACAACATGATTTTTTGCATGTCTGGATATATAGCACTGCGAACTTTCATAATATTTATCTTTATTCCTTGTGCAAATTTTCAGGGTTGTGATGGGTATGTAATTTGTAGTTTTTGTAAGTCTTTTTTATATAATGATTCTAGCATAATTGTTGTACTTAATATGATGCGCAGTACAGATAAGGTACAGAATGGGAATATCGACAATTTTCTGTGATTAAAATTGCATTCATAATCAGGATGACGATTATATTAGTACATAATTTATATCGAATAATTTTTATTAATGTTAATAACTAAATCCTGAGAACGATTAGATTTGATATTTAGACTTGTCACGTCATGCGGTAGTAAATATAACGTGATTTTAGCACATTTGCTCACAGTATTATAAATTTCACGAAAACAAGTTAAAATTCTAAGTTTATTTTATAAGTATTTTCAACACTTTTCTGAAAAGTGATGCAATCCTATCTTGATTCTGCCATTTCATTGTTAAAACAAATTTGTATGTGTAGTATTCCGGAATTCTGTAAATTTATACGTTTTGGGTTTTAGATGTTATTCATGTCACTTCCGTTATAAATAGTTTGTAACCGTATTGCTGAGTAATAGATCTCATTTATTCGAGTGAATATACAACATATCTGGCGACGAGGATGACCACTGGACGTATCGGAAGATTTGATGCGTTCGATCCGGCGATCGAAACATGGACAGCATAAGAGGAAAGGCTGGATAATTACTTCACAGCAAACACAGTGGACGACAACAAAAAAGTTCCCGCGCTACTGAGCCTCGTGGGCCCCAAAACATATGCATTGTTAAGAGACTTAACAGCACCCGAATTACCTAAGGCTAGGACATAAAAGCAACGTACGAAAGCGCTGAAGGAACATTATTCTCCAAGGCCGTTGGTTATAGTGGAAGGATTTAGATTTCACAAGCGAGACCAGCAGGTGGGGAAGAGCGTCCATGAGTACATTGCAGCTCTACGTAAACTTAGTGAATTTTGTGAATTAAAAGACGTCCTTAATGACACATTACGGGACAGATTTGTGTGTGGATTAAAAAACAAACACATTCTGGTGTCCACAAGCTAAGTGCACCTAAGAGTAAGAAAAGAATTCAACAAAAGTAAACTACGGCACCCAGCGGTGTTACAGATGTAATAGAAACCATACCTCGGATGACTGCAGATTTATCCATGAAACAATAGACAAGAATGAGTTCCTAAAAGATAAATTTGAATTTTGTGGCCATGTGATAGATGCAGAAGGACTCCACAAAACATCAAAGAAAACTGAATCGGCGCTAAATGCTCCAGAACCAAAGAATGTGTCTGATCTCAGAGCTTTCTTAGGACTCGTAAACTACTATGGACGATTCATGAAGAACTTATCTACTCACTCAGCACCCTTTTATGACCTTCTGAAGGACAATTGCAAATTTGTATGGTCAAAGTAATGCAGAGCAGTATTTGAGAAAATCAAGGATCTCGTGACGTCAGACCAAGTACTCGTGCACTTAGATCACCAGAAACCTGTAACACTGGCAACAGATGCTTCTCTCTACCGACTGGGAGCCGTGCTCTCTCACGTGATGCCGAATGGTTCTGAAAAGCCGATCGCTTTCGCTTCAAGATCACTTAGTCAAACGGAGAGGAAGTATGCACAAATTGATAAGGAAGCGCTAGGATTAGTTTGGGGAGTGTCGAAATTTCATGCATACTTGTATGGGATAAAGTTCACCTTAGTGACTGATCATCAACCTCTAGTATCAATTTTTCACCCCGAGAAAGGACTACCTGTCAATACAGCAGCTAGACTACAGAGATAAGCGCTTTTTCTATCAGGATTTCAATACGATATTCGATACAAAAACACATAGAAACATAGCAATGCTGATGCCTTATCAATACATCCTGTGCCGCCAGAAAGCGAAGGATCCAACGAAGACGCTTATGATGTGACTGAACAGTATATGATTCAGCAACTTGAAAGCCTACCTGTTAATAGTAAGGAAGCGCAGAGGGGAACAGTAAAAGACACCGCTCTGAAAGTGGTATATGACATGACAGCTTCAGGATGGCCAGTATCTGCAAATCACTTAAGTTAAGACCTGAAGGCATATTTTTCTCGCATTCCCCAGGATCTTCGTTCACGTGTCTTAGAGGAGCTACACGAAGGGCACCCAGGGATCGTCAAGATGAAAACCATGGCACGAAGTTTGGTATGGTGGCCAGGTATTGACAAAGACTTAGAGACACTGGTGAAAATTTGCAAAGGTTGTCAGAAAAACCGACCTATGCCACCAGAGGCACCTGTTCATCCGTGGGAATTGCCCCGAAGTGCATGGCAAAGGATACACGTAGACTTCGCCGACCCTTTCCAAGGAAGCATGTTCTTAGTCGTAGTTGATGCATTCTCAAAATGGCCCGAAGTTGTCCAGATGTCAACAACAACGGCAGACCGCACAGTGGATGTACTGCGTAGGATATTTTCAAGGAATGGCCTATCAGATCAACTAATATCAGACAACGGACCGCAGTTCGTCTCCGAAACCTTTAAAGACTTCATGAAGTACAACAGAATTCGTCATATTACGTCAGCTCCGTATCATCCGAGAACAAATGGGCTAGCAGAGAGACTAGTCCAGACACTGAAATAGTCAATGCGTGCATCAAAAGTGGAAGAAACTTCTATTACTAAGCGTCTTGCCAACTTCCTACTTTCGTACAGAAGTTCGCCGCATTCGACAACAGGGGAAACACCAGCTAAACTTTTCTTAGAACGTCAACTATGTACCAGACTCACACGACTGAAGCCGAATGTTTGCAACACAGTGGAAGCTAAACAAGAAAGCATGCATTACCGCATACCCGAACCCGTTCGACAGTTCAACACCGGTTTCTGTTCGCGACTATCGCAGTAATAGTGAGAAATGGATCACAGGGACTATTGACTCGAAAACAGGACCTCTTTCATACAAAGTGGAAATTACACCAGGGACAACATGGCGTCGGCATACAGACCAGATAAGATTTGCAGATTTCAACAACTCTGCGCAAATACCAGTCCTCCAACCCTGAATCTAGATCAAAAGTTAATTCGATTGAATGATAATACATTGTCGGCCGAAACATCAGATGACCATGACAGTGACGGGGATAAGTTACTCGCAACCCCAACCAAGAAACAAGCACCTGAACTGACGCCTATGCCGACATGTTGACCGGCAACAACTTTCGTATCCAAATCAAAGTACTGAGAGTACTGATAGGCGGAAGCATGATTGCAAGTTCTCAGGTGCAAAACTTTAATGACACATATTTGGAGCATAATCTGTTTTAAAGGGGGAGGGGGGTAATAAATATTTTGATGGATTGTAGTATTGAAACCAAAGAACAAAGATAAACAATATGTCTCCCTTTTGAAGCGGAGACATGAGAATAAGTGACGTCAATAGCAATATGAACTTTTTTACATTTATTATACCCCCGCTTGAACATCGGGAGGGTATACTGTAATCGGTATGTCCGTCTGTACGTCTAGCTGTCCGTCCGTCCGTCTGTTACGCTTTGGGGTACTCATCTCTTATCCGCAACTCCTCTTATACAGTGTACATCTAAGTGAAATTTAATGAAACCTTTACAGAATCTTTATTACATATTGCCATTGTGCAACTTCTATTTTACTTTTTGATCCGACACATATTTTGGGTTTCCCGGCCACAGCAAAACATGGACTTTGCCATTATATTCATATGGGAGGTGGGGGTATCATTTAGTGAGCTCATCGCTCACAGTTCCTCTAGGTTTTATCAAGTATAACAAGTTAACATTAAAATGCACTTTGCAATACATAAAATTAGTTAGATATGGTTTTGGGGAACAAGAAATGGATAATTATAAAATTTCACACAAAAATGAGTACTAATGAGTAATAGAAAACAATAAATATCACAACTGCTTTATTGTTTTTATGTGTATTAAGTTTTAGTACAAATGAAACAAAGTATTTTTATAAAACAGCTAATTAAATAAGGATGCAACATACATAGAAGACCTTACATAGATTTACAATGTGCTTGTGGTTCTATTAATTGTTTTCATTTAATACACATATGGCCCAGGTAGAACAAATCACAAGTCTCTAATGCTGAAGACAGGTGAACCCAGCGTAATGATGTCCACATGGAATATTTTTCAGGATAGCTTCTACCATGGCAAGTCCTTGTAAAATATTGGTACAGACATCCCAATATCAGTGTTGATTTATTTTCTGGAGATTATCTACACCATTTCCCTCACAACTGTCTCTTGGCAGAATTTTCTACAAAGTTTATAACTGATAAAAAAATTAAGAATATCTCATTATGTTTATTTAACAAAAATTACTCGGTTACTCAGATGTATATTATTTCTTATTTCAAGGTACACATTTTTATCGAAAACAATTATAACTAAAACATGCAAATGGTAAATCATTCATTCATTCAGTTAAATCTGACATGCATAGAAATTAATGCCACTATACCCACTTCAAGAGTGAAGTGGGTATATAGAAATAACGAAAGATGCAAAACTGCTGAAAGTCAACTTGTGTAGTAAGTTTAGTGTATGTATACTAGAAACAACCAACGAATGATATAATATAAGACTAGCGATCATGACCAATAACATCCATCCCCTCTCTTTCTCTAGTTATATAACCTACATGTGTACACAGCAGTTTGTCAAATAGATCAATTCAAAACAACCTTTTTTTAATTTTGGGTGCAATGTGCATTTGTGTTTTATTTGATAACTAATTTTAGTACCAAAAATTATTTTCAGTGGAATGGATAATTATTTGTACATGTCTTAAATTGATAAACATGAGAAATTCAGCTTTGTGGGTTAACAGAGCTTAATTAACTGGGCTCAAGATCAAACTTTTACCTACATTTTACCAGGTAACTGTGTATTCAATTGGAAAAAATCAGAGTAAGCGATATTAAATATTGACCGATTTGACTTCCCTAATATTTTTTGGTATTTTTTTTTCTCTCGCATATACTATTCATCATGTATTTGCATGTATTTAAAAAAAAATGAAAAGAAAATACCCAAGTCAACAAAAATAAGAAATGTCAAAATATACTTTCAAAAATAGTATTCGGTTCATTTTTGCCATCATAACAAGAACATTAATTTTGTAATGCTATCAAAAACATGTATCATAACTTATGAAAATTTTTTCCACAAGAAATATAATAAATTGATGTACTCACCTTTAGAAAAGTTTTTCTAGTTGTGCTGAGTTGAGTTTTTTTCTGCTATTTAGAGGTTACACAGAGCAAATTCACCATTCAATCTTAATTATATCCCACTTTCTGTTAGCTGCCTCCGTAGGGACACATCTATTCAGACTAAAATACAATGGTACACATAGTTCTTATGCTTGCGTCTTAATTTCTGTCCAAATTTTACAGTTTTGGCCCATCCTTCAACACACATGTATTAATTTACATTAAATGAGATAGGATATATAAATGTATACAGAAACTCGGCATGATAATTCCTCAAATAATTTCTCCCAGGCATGTAATCATGGTAATTATAGAGTACCAGTTCGTTCATCTTCGATAAGACCCAACCATAACAGCTATCATATTACGAAAGCTAAAGCATGCCTGCATAGGGAGGCGACATTTTCAAGTTAAAACAATAAAAGATAAGGGTAACAATAAAAGATTGGCTAATCACACAGCGTGAGTTACCTTGCTTATTTTGAAGAGAAAGCCTGTCACTTCCATTCAACCATTGTAAAACATTTGTGCTCCACGTGGGTTTGTTGACAGTAATTTCACGCTGAATCGTCTTGTGTTAGATTATTACGCTAATGTAGTACATACATATAAATAAACAATTGATAAAAGGAGTTACATACCTCTTTTCTTCTATTTTATACAAGATTGTTGAAAAGATTAGTTCCTCAGTAGATATGTACCTGTCATTAATTCTGAAACATAATTACCTACTTGAACTATTTTGTCCCTCGTAGTATTTCTAGAGATCGCGTCAGGACCCCGTGCTAATCAAATGTTGAACCCGATTTGTTTAACGTAATGTGTTCTCTCAAACGTGAAACGTACCAGGAGTACTAAAATAACTATTCGTTCTATTATTCGGCTTTTATTTTTATTGGACTTTTTAACATTAATCAAAATAAATTGTTCAAATAAATTTGCCATAACACACTTGATATGATAATAACGATAAAGATTGTGAAAGGGGTCGAATATGATTTAGCGGGTTGTCTGCCCTTAGTTTAAGATACATCCGTTTGGAGTACCATGAAACGGGGCAAACATATTGAGAGGTCGAAAGGTCAACAAAGCAAAAGTAAAAGGCGGCTTCCGCCTAAAAACGTTGTCCAACCTGTTCTTAATGTTGTGCTGAGTTATAAATCTCATTTATTCGAGTAAATACACAACAGTATGACCGACTGCGGTATCCTTTGCTGGGTAATAGCATGAAATATTGATATGATTAAATTATTTTCAAAAAGCATCAGGATCAGCAGCACTTTTTTGATATCCAAATACTTCTAGAGTTGATTTATTAAAGCTAATTTTGATCCATTAAGTGTATGCCCTTGCACTAGAACGATTAATTAAGACCCTCACGTTACTCTCCGATTTACCTGCAGACAAATATACTCCAGTATCAATTTTATAGGAAATATACGGAAAATATATTTATAAATAAAATCTTGAAGACATTGAATCTAAGTTAATTACGTACAAAATATCTGTAAATTATATTTCATTTAATTATATAGAATATTAAGATATGCTTTGTTTAGAAAATATTACCTTATTTGCCTCTCACTGTATACAAATTTCGTCATGTTTTACAAAATGACATTACATCGACAAGTACATTGCGATCAGTGACTTGTTTATAGCTTGTTATGTGGGATTTAACTAACGACAACACAGCTATCTGTGTTAAATTTTGATGTAGTTATATGGTTTCTTACGTGTTAAAATATCAAATTACCTCATTTTGTGGCATTTTTAAGAACTGTTGGTTTCGTATGATGTCATAGTTAAGTTTTCCAGTACAAATTAGGCTTCGACCCTCTTTGTAGCCTTAACTGTGCTGCATATCAGTAGGGTATAAAGTCACACATTGTATAAAACATTACAATAGTCATACATGGTTTTAGATAACAAGAGGCCCATGAGCCACATCGCTCACCATAGTAACTTGGGTGATGCAGTTCTTTACCAGATTTCCCCTCTTGCCTTACCTATGGTGCCCCCTACCCCCTTTCATTATATAAATACTTTAGAATCAACACTTCCTCTAGGATGCTTCCACATAAGTTTCAGCTTTTCTGGCCCAATGGTTTTTGAGAAGAAGATTCTTAATTTTTTTTCAAAATATATCTATGTAAAAATTGGATTTCCTATTGTTGCCCCGCCCTACCCCCGGGGTCATGATTTTAACAATTTAATATCTACACCACCCAAGGTTGTTTCCACATAAGTTTCAGTTTTCTGGCCCAGTGGTTCTTGAGAAGAAGATTTTTAAAGATTTGTTCTAAACATTTCTATGTAAAACTTGGAATTCCCTATTGTGGCCCTGCCCTGACCCAGGGGTCAAGATTCTAACAATTTAATATCTACACTACCCAAGCATGCTATCACATGCTTTTCTGGCCAGTTTCAGCTTTTCTGGCCAGTGGTTCTTGAGAAGAAGATTTTTTTAATGACCCCACCTTATTTTTGTCTTTCCTGGATTATCTTCCCTTGTAAGGAGTCTTGGCCCGTTATTTTAATAATACATCCCCAAAACCCAAGGATGCTTTGTACCAAGTTTGGTTAGAATTGGCCCACTGGTTCTTGAGAAGAAGTCGAAAATGTGAAAAGTTTACAGACGGACAGACGACGGAAAAATGTGATCAGAGAAGCCCACTTGAAACTTCGGCTAAGTTGAGCTAAAACGATTATTGATACAATGTAAGAGTAATATTCACGATATATATATAAATTCAAACAGAAGTTTAGAAGTGTTGTGATGTTAATAGTAACAGTTCTGCATCAAAATTTTAATTTAAAGAAATCATGGTTGTTGCTCGGGATCAGCATGGAATGAAGCATCACAAATATGTTTGCGTAAGTTATTATTTACTGAAATTGTAAAGTTTTTTGACATTTTTTCTCATTTGCTCTTATGGTCAATTTAATTGATCACTACGTTCGTTTTATACCTCCGCAATCAAGTTTTCAGGGGTATATAGTTTTTATCCTGTCCGTCGTCTGTTATTCTGTTTGCCTGCTTCTCCGCAAACAATTTTATCATATCTTTAAAAACTTTTATCATATCTTTTGAGCAGATAAGGCTATGACTTTCATATTTCACAAATGTATTTCCTTTTTTCCCTACATGGTACAAGGCCTACTTTTGGGACCATCTTTGACCTCTTGACCATGATTATGGAGTTTGACCCACTTTTGCCATAAATATCATATTTTAAAATTCGCCATCATTTTAGAACAGTTGGTAGTATGATTTTAATTCTTTAAACGTGTATTCATTGTAACAAGAACTTTCATTTGATATAAAAATATACTCTTTTGACCTTGACCTTTGAGTTGACTTACTTTTTAAAATTTTCACCTTGGCAACAATTTTTGAAATTACAACTTTACCGATGTATCCCCTTTGACAAAACCTTCCTCTCGGTACGAACGCTTTTGACCTTGACCTTTGGAGTTGGACTTGCACTTTAGTAACCTAAATCCTCTCCATAAACTGACGAAGGGGGATTCAGTGTTTCACAAACACATTTTTGTTATTATTTTTTATTTAATGCAGCATGCATGGATGGATATGTTGGACTTAACTGCAACAAGACCTGTCTGTATCCAAAATATGGTTTTAGATGCCAGCAGAATTGCAACTGTTATCAGATTAACTGCCATGTATCAACAGGCTGTGTTTTTCTTCTCACTAGTGGGTTTAAACTTATTTCTTCATACTAACCTACAGCACTTGTCTGTAATTGATAAATGTTACTCTTGATATTGTTAGAAAATACTTTTATTAGTTCATACTTATTAAAATGAGTTTTAGCATACTACTTAAGCCTGAACAAGACCCAAATAATCACACACCACATTTAATTCCCTTATATCAACATTGGAGCATATACCAGTTTGTTACATCTCTCTGCCTTCAGTCACTATTTTGTTTGCTTTTTCAAATGTGTGTATAACTTGGGTTTAATGTCCCCCGTTTTCGCAAAAGTGGGGGGAAAATTAATCTCATCCGTCTGCAAGGCTTGCTGTCTGTCACATAAACTATAATCTTAATCATTTGAATGAGAAAGGAGAGTGCATTTATATTTCGAATGAACATATATAACCTTGGTAAGACCCTGCTTAATATAGTATGATATTTGACAATTTGACCTTGATTTTAAAGTTTGACATACCCTTTTAAAAAATTTAACATTACTTTAGATTAGTTCAAACTTTCGAAAAAAAAAAATAGAGCTTTTATTTACACGTGTATGTAACCTTTGATAAAGCCTTTCTAAAACAACTTTCAAATTGATTGTTTATTCTGTGATATTGACCTGGAAGTTTAACGTTCTTTTCGGGAATTGAATATTTAATTAACGTTTAATTGAGAAGGGATGAAACTATGGGGCTATATTTGACATGTGTATATATTATCAACAAGATATTTCAGAACATTTATGATTTTTTTTTTCATCTTGACCTTCACCTTTATGTTTGACCTAATTAAAAAAAGGAGATTCTTTTTTATGTTTGACACAATATGTCATAAATACTGGCATCCCGTCGACCAAGTCACCGAGCGCTGGACACCATTGTTACAACGCACTTTGAAAAATTACGCACTTTGAAAAAAATTTCGTTTTTTTTTAAAATTCTAGTCATTCATAAGTAGATGTAAAGGTGTAAAGGGGGCACTAACGGTGGACAGCTTTAAGCAACTTAGCATATATCATTAAAAAAGGGGGCAATTTGATTGTTCAAAACTATGAAAAAAATTTCTCTCTCATACGTTTTACTGTACTTAAAATTTTCTAGTTTTCATCTGTTTTAATTAACTCATTTAATATTGAAAGTTTTCAACGTCATACCATTTTTTCAAAGTGCGTTAAGTGTCTCCATGGTAAAATATATTGATGTAGACTCTTAACGCACTTTGAAATTTTTTTTTTCAAAGTGCGTTGAGTTGGTCCTAAATTTAACGCACTATGAAAATTTTTTTTCAAAGTGCGTTGATTGTGTCCCAATTTTAACGCACTTTGAAAAAAAATTTCAAAGTGCGTAATTTTTTCATAGTGCGTTGCCACAGACCATGGAGACCACACTTCTTTGAATTCATGCTTAGTAGTCTCCTGCCGGTGAAATTAGAGTGGACTGTAGGTTTCCTCTGCGTATCTCCGTCCGTATGTTATATCGAGTTGATAATTGGTATGTGAATTTATCTTGACAAGTTACAGATAAAGTTTAAATTAAAGGAAAAAGGTCTTTTAGTTTTTTAACAATTTTCCTTACTTACTTCTAAAACCTTGTAAATATTGATTTTTGAAATAACAAACAAGGAAAGTAATGAAGGATAAACTTATAAAACAAGCAGAGGATTTTGCATATGTGATAATTGTTCCCTACCGGTAAGTGTAATAGGATTCTCATTTAAAATTAAATTGGACCAAAATCATTGAAGCGAAACAAAATTCATATCCCATCTATAACTCATTAAGATACATTTACTTGCAAAATATCATCTGAATATTTGCTAGCATTTAGAATAAATGCGACAACCCACGAGTTGCAGACAAACCGAGAGACAGACTGATGAACAGCGAGAAAGACAAAGGGACAGCCGCAAAAGACAACGTGTTTTTTTAAAATAAATATTTTATTTGAGTGTATTTTTACAGTCATAAATGACACCAGAAGAATTTATTGAAATTATGAGTAAATTATACATGGAAGCATAAGTAAATCATGCATGGAAGCATGATTTTTTTTTTTACAGAATGGACGGAAATTCTTTTATCGGGTGTATGTCATACTGCTTTTAAAGCAAGATTTAAGAGAAACTAAAAGAAAAAAAAAACATGTTATTCGACATATGTAATTTTTGCGCTTAAATAAAAAAAATGTTAATAGGGATAGTTTGGAATTGAGCTTTGGGCCCATTTTTCATTTAGATATAAGTAATAGATCAAGGACACTGTATTTAATAAGCCCATTAAACACAGTCATGTACATGTACATACCAAACACATGAAATGCCATATCTGTTTGTTTCTAAGAGAATACTTCAGATATGTTTTTAGCCAGGCTTATTGGTCAAAAAGCAATTGCCGGCTTATGTGATCCTGTTCAAGACAGGATGTTAACCCCATAGTCGCCATTTTAAAGTTACTAGTAAAAATATAGTTCTTACTCTCAACTGCTTTTGAGACAATACAAACGCTAAATAAAGGAACAAAAATAAAACGAAGTTTTATCTAAATACATAAACATATTTAGTACCTTTGAAAACTTTAGTCTTAAGTCAAAGAACATACAGTTGTAGTTCATTGGTGTAAGGAGTTTTGATAATACAAAGAAAAGCAGGAGAGGGAACCAGACTGGCCTGTTTGTTTATTTTCAGTTGCGGTACCAGATTAATTTTGATTATGACAAAATCGGACCATGGTATTAGGATAGAAACTCACTGTCAGTGTCTTATCATTTATATTGATAGATTTAAAATGATTTTTTCATAAGAATTTTAAATTTGATATTCCTTTTTTTTATCTGTTAATACAATATACAATGAGCTCCGCTCTCTGTACTTCTAAGTACTTTGATTTTTCTACTTAGGCTGTATACATGTATAACACATTTTTGCATGCATTTAACAGATAATATACAATATGTATTATTTATTATCTTTTTCCAAGGTTTACAGTTACAAATATTCGATTCATAAAGTTACGTAACATAGAATTCTATTCTCCTGTTCTATTCCCTGAGACGACTTTTAAACAATTTTCTATTTTCAGTGAGATTGTGACATTCTTTTGTTTTCATTTTCCTACAGTCAGTTTTTAACAAAGAAAAAATTAGTTTCCATTCTGAGCACAGAGTATCTTTAAAAGTATTGAAGTTCAGCTTTCTTGCATTGAATTGATTAAACATTCATCAAGCCACATTGAGCTTATTTATTGTCAAATAACTTGACATTTTTCCTCCAAAAATGTCACTTGTTATAAAATTACTACAAATAAAACATTAAACTGCGTAAAAGTAAAAAAAGACAGGGAGATCAATTAACATAAAACCACCATTTCTGTGGAAAATATCTAGACAATTCATTATGCAAAACAATTTCTCATCCCAGTACAAAAAATGTATGTGGCTATAACAAAATATAATTATATAATTAGGCAACATAGGTGGCCTCCAGAATATCGCCTCCGACATATGAATTAGCTTTAAAATACTATGATTCAGCTTTAAAAAAAAATATTACCACACAAAATTAAAACGTTTATATTACATACAAATATGTAGTAGATTGTCATGTTCTACTATTCATTTATCGAACTGAACAGCTGTTCATGGTAAGCTCCGTTACATGTGTGCCCTAAAACAATGTTGTCATGTCAAGTACATTTTCTGCCATATTTAAAAATTTTAAGTATGCCCTTTGGAAAATCTATATAATAATATTATTTCCTCGTGTATATGTATATGTATATTCAAAATCAGGCAAGGGCAGGTTGATAGAAGAACACATGGATAGAATTGTTTTCATTGCTTTTTTTTCACAAAGGATATAGTCAATTCAGGATATTCAGCGAAAAACACTTTACTTTGAAATAGAGTATCATCCTTTCATATAGATATACACAGAAAGGAAGAGACAACTTGAAATGATAAAAATCCATTTAACATTCTTTATCAGCCTGAGACACAAATATCAGCCAGAGGGTGATTCAGGACATGACGTGGAAAATGCTGTTTTATTTTGTTTATAACATACACGTGTAGCTATGATGTTTTTTAGGTCCTTGTTTGTCATGCTCCTATTTTTGAATTTTTAAATGAACTTTCGAGCTTAATACTGTTCGTTATTATTAATTGTAATTTTTAAATCAATTTATGGAATTTCAATACATGATATGAAACAGATGACTGTTTTTGTGGTATCTTTTATCTCAAACTCACCAGGATATACATATATCGTATCGACATAAGAATGGAAATTACCATTGTCAATGGACAATACGTTGTCAATATACTGTAACTAAATGTCGAATAGACGGCCACAGCAACTGTTTTCTACTTTTCACGCATTTGATTTTGACAAATTCTGCTTCATATGAATACAAAAATAGGTCTTAAAATTCCAAAAGAGAAGTTCTTACATCAAGTCCAATTTTAGGAAAAAAATATACTTGGGTAGATTTATATTAAAACCATAAATTGTTTTTTTTTTTACATTTACATATTTGTAAACTAAAATATCGAAGTTATCCTGACACAGAGATCAGATGAAAATTTTTACAGAACTCAAGAAATTACACAATGATTTTGATAAGTGGTAAAAATATATCATCACCTCGGGGAGGGAAATTATTGGAAGTCATGAAAGTCATGCGCTTCTCTTTCCTAGAATTCTAAAACGATATTAAAATCCGTCGTCGAAACTGTACAGAGAAAGGATTACAAAGTTGACATATCCTCTTAATAAAAGGGTTGTGTTTTCATAATAATTATTTGTACTAAAAACTGTAATTGATGAATTAATGCAATATCCTGTACGAAATATATATGTTTTTTTGACAATGGCTTGTTTGAACCTCAAACTAAAATATTTCTTTTTTATTTAAGGCAAATGATGGAATTGTAAATACATTAAAATCGTTAAGTACGAACACGTATATTGTGAATTCACGGATATAGCGAAGTAATCTTGGATAAAAAAAAAT